TCTGGCCCGCCTCAATCCGCGGGTGTTCTGGTTGGCCCCCAGCTGAGCTGAGGCGTGGCTGAGCTGAAGCTCGGCTGATCTGAAGTGTGGCTGTGCAGAGGCTGCTGGCGGTGAAGTGTGTGAACAGCTGGAGCTGGAGTTTGGGAACAGCTGGGACTGCAGCACAGTTAGGCCAAAGCAACTGGGGCTTGGGTGCAGGTTGGTTGAAGCAGCTGCAGGTGAAGCACTGCTGTGCTGAAGAAGCAGGAGCTGGAGCGCCACTGGGCCAAAGAAGCTGGAATTGGAGTGTGGGCTGTGGCAGTGGGGACTGAGCTGCCATCACCTCTGGTGTGGAGGCACAGGCACCCATGCTGCTGGTGGGGCCTGGGCGCCTGGGGGCCACTGCCTTTGACACCAGAGTGTGGCTGCCCTGCTGATGCTGGTGGGACCTGGGTGCCTAGGGGCTGCTGCCTGAAGTGCAGCTATGCCGAAATGTCAGGCAGGCTGGGTGGCAGAGGGACACTTACTTTCGCCTCCCCTGTCTCAGAAGTCTCTTCCCTCACTGTCATTCTCTGCTCTTCTGGAGGGCTAGCTTGTCAAAACTACCCTTGCAACAGTTCCGCTCCCTCTGTAGGAGGATTCCCCATGGGCTGTGAGGGGTCTTGGAGAGCACTGGTTTTCCCATAGAGAGCCACCCCTCCCCCTTCTCTGAGAGCCACGTTGTCTCAGTCTCAGCGTCACAGTCCTTGGGGAAGGAAGGGAGCTCCTCTTACCTCCTTCCACTTACTCTGGGAATTCCAACACCTCAGTCCTCGGGTATACAGCTGCGTGGGTGCCTCAGATGTCCCCTGTGTTGTGTGAATAGCCTCTGTTGGAATATGAATGTCCTTTTTATTGTGTCTTAGAGGGGGAGAGTTCAATGGGGGAAGCTCACTCCACCATGACGCTGCTCATTCAGTTTTTTTATGACAACTATTTTGAATTCTCTGTCAATTAGATTGTAAACTTCTGTGACTTCAGGGTTGGTTTCTGGAGACTTGTCATTTTCCTTCTGCTCTGAAGTGTTACTATAGTTCCTCATGGTGTTTGATGAATTGATCCTTTGCCAGCACATTTGTCATAGTATCAGTGTTCTGCAGACAGGGCACCTTCTAAGAGGGCAGGGCACCTTCATGGGCTTCTGTGCTCCACAGGTGGGTGCCTTCTGAGTGGGCGGGGTGACTTCTTGCCTGTGTTTCACTTGGTGAGCAGGCACCTTCAGGGGACTGAGCTGCCACCACTTGGTGGGGAACATTCCCATGGGTAGGGCTCCTGTGGCACAGTGGGTGCTCCCACAGGCCAACCTACCACTCTGAAAGTGTTCACACAGACTGGACTGCCCCCATATTCTCTTACAGTCACCCTGGCTGCTGTGTGAGGATCCACAACCTGGCTTTCTGCTGCTGGGGACGGGGAGGTGTTCATTCACCTAGTTCCACTGCCTCCCAGGGATCCAGTCCACCCATCTTCAGATGCATGGCTGTGTGGATCTATCAGATGTCTTGCTGTGCTGTGCAGGGAATCCTCTGCTGGTTCATGAAAGTTCATTTAGTTGTAACTTAGAAGGGAGAGACAAAGAGAACAACTCATTGGCCATGATGCTGATGTCACTCTCCTTCTCTCTTTTCTTTCCTAGTTATTTCCTCCAAAAAGCAAGCATGGCTTGTGTTGTCCTCCTCAATGCTGGTGCCAATCAAGGCTCCTTTTGAGGGCTCTTATCCACATCTGCTGCTTCTGGGGAGCTTAAAATTGCTGTGAAGCACCTCTTGGGCTCTCCTTTTAAGACAACTTGTTGGAGGAATTGTATCTTTCTCTCAACTGCTATGAAATGACTGAATGGAAAACACGATATAGGGAAATGAGAGAGAAGTCTTTGTTGTGAAGGGATAGATAAAATTTCTAAAGAAAATTTATATTCTCTATTCCCAGTATCTCCCTGTAACAGAGAAAATAATGTTAATGCAATATCTAATCAGAGATTAGAGAATATAGCTCATGTTATTCCTTTCAAGAACAATGAAAACAATTAACATTTCTAAGTTATCTAAATTACATTTGTGGTGGCTTAATCTGTATAATCCTTTTAAACTATCTTGGTATTGTGGGAGGTTTCTTCTACATGAGAATATGCTATGGATACCTAAAGTGCTATAATTTTTCCCCATGGAAAGAAATAGTTATCAATGCTTATTTTCCTTCTGTACATAAAAAGTAAATTTTAGAACATTATATATGGTTACTTAATTCAATTTTTAACGAGGAGAGGTATATCACAATATCTTTTAAAACATCTTTTCAATTTCCAACGAAGAACTTATTCTCTTTTCAGTAAACTTATTGGTAGTGAAGGATTTCAGTGGTAAAAATGCTATGCTTTAAATATACTTTAATATTCTTTATCTCATCTGGCCCACACAACAATTATATACAGTAGATAGTGAATGCATTCTCTTCAGTTACCAGACAAGAAGATTGAGCCACAAAGAGACTAGTGACTTGCCCATGTCCACACACCTTAGGACCAGAGATAAAATGAGAACTGAGGCCTCCTGATTCCTGGTCCAGGATGCTTTCCATTATAACACACTATCTTCCTAGTTGCTCTTCTTAAAGTCTATTATCTGTTGCAGACAAAATGCCAAAAGAAAATCCCATCAGTAAAATAAGCGACCTACTAGTTAGGATCTAACAAAATATGCTCAATATATGTTGCATTCCTTTAGTCTTATCCTTATTTATTCTAGACCAAAAAAGAGTAAATAAATGCATACCACCAGAAATTTACCAAGAGACCAATTATTTCACAATTTCGTGCTCAACACTAACTCGTATGTCATCCTTTATTTGGAAACCATTTGTGTTATTCTGGACCAAAATATTACTAATAATATAAGAAATCTTGCTGAATCTAACTCATCTTTGGCAATTAAAATGTGTGAGTTTGCTTATCAGTTAAATTAGCTCTACCAGATAGACCTTATTTTTTACAGACTTGATTGAGTTTCTCGGTAAAATGATCTTAGTTGGGCATGAGGACATAATATTTTTTTCACTTTCTAGTTTGGCTTTATAATCAGGGAGAGTTTTATGATCATTTAAGTCCTATTCACTGCCAAATGCCTGCAATTTAATTCTGTATACTATGCTTTGGCCAGGACAACATTTTCCAATTTACAAAGAAATTTTTCTCCAAAGAATACCTGTTGGCCCCAGATGTGAAATTGACTGATGTCAAACATTTAAAAGAAAACAAAGGTTGTGGAAGGCAGCAATGGAGTGGGGAAATCATTCTTGATTTGATTTTCAAAAAATAATGGAGTAGTGCCTGACATACACAGTAGAAACTCAATGAATGTTTGTTGAATGAACACATGAATTAGTTAATATTTATTCCTGACATGTATCTTAGCTACTACCTTTTCTGGTAAGCCACAGACATTCCCAGTCTAGGTTAGGAGATCCTCCTGTTTCCATTGCACTCCATCATACTTAAGTCTTAATTTGTCATCAATGTAGTTGTTGAGGTTAATATCATCATTATTGCTATACTTATTGGATGCCAGAGGCTGAGACAGTGAGATTGACTCATTTTCCAAGGTCACATAATCAGTAAGGTAAGAGCCATTTATCATCACTTACTACACTTTATCATACTCACCTTTTTAACTTATCTCTCTAATCTACTGTTAATTCCTTGAGGATTGTACCTGAGTCAGAGTCAGCTTTGAATAATAACAAAAACAGTAGCAACCAACATTTATTGAGTGCTCATACTACTTTACATGACTGACCATATTTAAGCTTCACAACCTGCTTATGCTGTAAGTACTATTATTAAACCTACTTTACATAAGATACATAGTAGTTATTTCTTTAAGAGATATATTCCTATACTTGAACTTATTGCAAAAGGTTATAACTATTTTTTCACTTTTTAGTTATTTATAATTTTTAAAATAATCTTTATTTTTCAGAACAGTTTGGATTTAAAAAAAAAATGCAAAGAAAGTGCAAAGTTCCCATATACCCCACACTCAGTTTCCCTTATTATTAACTTCTTACATTAGCATGGTATATTTGTTAATTATTGTACAATCGTACACTTATTGAACCAATATTGAGTCAGTACTTTATTCAGATGACCTTAGTTTTTACCTCATGTTCTTCTTCTGTTCCAGGATCCCATCCAGGATACTACATTACTTTTAGTTTTCATGTCTCCTTAGGCTCCTCTTGGCTATGACAGTTTCTCAGCCTTTCCTTGCTTCTGATGATCTTAACAGTTTTGAGGAGTACTAGTTAGGTATTTTGTAGAATATCCCTCTATTGGAATTTATGTGATTTGTTTCACATGATTCGATTGTGGTTACGAGTTTGGGGGGAGAAAGTCCACAGAGGTAAAGTGCCATATTTATTCCATCAGAGCAAGGGTACATACCATCAGCATCTCTTATCATTGTTGATGTTGACCTTGATCACCTGTAGTGTTTCTCAGGTTTATCTGTTGTAAAGTTACTCTTTTTTCCCCGTTTCCATACTGTACTCTTCGGAAGGAAGTCACTACATGTAGCCCTTACTTAAGGAGGGGGGTGTTATGCTCCACCTCTCTGAAGATGGAGTATCCCTGTCATTATTCAGAATTCTTCTGCGAGGGTTATTTATCTCTTCCTCCCCATTTATTCATTTAGTCAATCATTTATTTATATCAGTATGGATTCATGGATATTTATTGTACACTTTGGGTTACAATACAATACTACTTTATTTAGTTTCACCAAGTGCTCCTGCTTTGAGCATTGGGAGCTCTTCCAGTTGTCTCCTGTGTCCCATTGCTGTACCCACACCAATCTGGGTTTTTTTCTTTGAACAATCCGTTTTTGTTTTTTCTGAGGAAGATTCACCCTGAGCTAACATCTATTGCCAATCTTCCTCTTTTTTTTTTTTTTGTATGTGAGCTGCCACCATAGCACAGCCACTGACAGATGAGAGGTGTATGCCCATGCCAGGGAACCGAACCCAGGCCACTGAAGCACAGCACACTGAACTTACACTAGGCCACTGGGGATGGCCCTCTTTGAGCAACTCTTTACTTTCTGATACTAAGAGATATTCCAGGATCATCTTATACATTTCCTGCCCTCAGTCATTTTTCCGAGGATCCCTGGTTACTTTGATTAGAGAATGCTATTAGAAACCAAAATCTGTGTACTAAGTATATATACACATAACTATAAATATATCTATATGTAACCATCTGTATCTATATTAAGCTAAACATGAGTTCATACTGGTGTCTCTAACACTAATCTATTACTACATGGATCATTCTAGCCTCCTCTCCTTGTTTTGTAAACTACTCCAACAGTGAGAAACTTGGCTCACACCAATTGCCATCCATTTACTTAATTGTTCAATTCCAGTATATACGTTTAGCAATATCAGAATTGTTGGCTCACACCCCAATGGCAAACAACTTTATCAACTAGAGTACATTGTCTATGTGCAGTTCCTTTTGCCTTTAGTCTTACCAACTCTACTCATTTCCAAATTTACTTAGGTTGGCAAATTTTACCCTGATCCTCTTCAGTGAGATTGTTCCATACATATTTTAATACATTTAGATTATTTTGTCACAGCCTGTATTCCATCCTGGGATTACCCAACCTTCTAAATGATTTAAAAAAATTTTTCATATGTTAAGGTTCACTCTCTGCTGTAAAGTTCTATGGGTTGTAAGAAATGTATAGTGTTATTTATCTGCCATTATGATATCATACAGAATAATTTCACTGCTATACTAGGCATATTCAACCTTCCATCTCCCTGATTCCCTGGAAACCACAGATCTTTTTACTATTTCTATAGTTTTGCCTGTTCAGAAATGTCACATAATTGGAATCATACAGTATGTAGCCTTTCTGGACTAGTTTCTTTCACTTAACAGTATACATTTAAGTTTCATGCATGTCTTTCATGGCTTGATATCTTATTTCTTTTTACTGCTGAATAATGTTCCATTGTATGGATGTACCACAATTCATTTATCCTTTCATCTATTGAAGAGTAGCTTGGTTGTTTTCAGTTTTCAGTGATTATGAATAAAGCTGCTATAAATATGTGTAGGTTTTTGTGTGGACATAAGTTTTCAAATCAGTTGGGTAAGGACCCAGGAATACAATTTCTGGATTGTATGGTAAGGTTGTGTTTAGCATTGTAAGAAGCTGCTAAACTGTCTTGCAAAGTGGCTGTACAATTTTGCATTCCTACTATCAGTGAATGAGAGTTCCTGTTGCCCTATAACCTCACTAGCAATTGGTATTGTCAGTTTTCTTGTAATTTAGCCATTCTAATAGGCATGTAGTGGTAGCTGGTTGTTTTAATTTGAAGTTCTCTAATGATAAATGACATTAAGCATCTCACACGTTTATTTGCTATCTGTATATTTTCTTTGATGAGGTGTCCAGATCCTTTTCTTATTTTTAAATGGAGTTGTTTCTTTTATTATTGTTGAGTTTTAAGAGTTCCTTGTATATTTTGGATACAAGTCCTTTATCAGATAAGTGTTTTGCAAATATTTTCTCCAAGTCTGTGGCTTGTTTTTCATTCTCTAAACATTATTTCACAGAAGTTTTTTATTTTAATGACTTAATTTTTTTCTTTCATGGATTATGCCTTCAGTGTTGTATCTAAAAAACTCATCACCAAAACCAAGGTCACCTAGATTTTCTCCTATGTTTTAATCTAGAAATTTTATTATTCTGCATTTTATGTTTAGGTCTATGATACAATTTAAGTTAATTTTGGTGAAAGATATATGGGCTCTGTCTAGGTCTTTTAATTATGATTTGTTTTGTAAATAAACATACAATTTTTCCATTTGTTAAAAGACTATCTTTTCCCATTGAATTGCCTTTGTTCCTTTGTCAAAGATCAGTTGACTATATATGTGTAGGTCTGTTTCTGGGCTCTGTATTATTTCCATTGTTCTATTTGTCCATTCTTTCCCCAATACTACACTGTCTTGATTACTGTAGTTTTAGAGCAACTCTTGAAATCAGGTAGTTTAAGTTCTCCAATTTTGTTCTTCTTCAGTATTGTGCTAGCCATTCTAGGTCTTTTGAATTCCACAAAAAACTTTAGAATCAGTTTAACAATATTTACAAAATAGCTTGCTGGGATTTTGATTGGTATTATATTGAATATGTAGAACAGGTTGGGAAGAACTAACAACTTAACAATATTTAGTCTCCCAATCAATGAACATAGAATATCATATCTCTCCATTTATTTATATTTTTATTTACTTCATTAGGGTTTTGTAGTTTTCATATGTAGATCTTGTATATAATTTAGATTATATACCTAAGTTAGATTAATACCTAAGTATTTCATTTTCTTAGATGCCATTGTAAATGATACTGTTTTTTAAATTTTAAATTCCAATTGTTCATTACTAATAAAGCAATTAACTTTTGTATATTATCCTCATATCCTGTGAACTTCCTATATTTATTATTTCTAAGAGTTTTTTGTTGTTGTTGTTGTTGTTGTTGATTCCTTGGGATTTTCCACATAGATAATCATGTCATCTGTGAATAAAGATAGTTTTATTTCTTCTTTTCCAATCTGCATACATTTATTTCCTTTTCTTGTCTTATTGTACTGGCTAGGACTTCTAGTATGATGTTGAATTGGAGTAGTGAGAAAAGATATCCTTGCTTTGTGTACTATTTTAGGGAGAAAATGTCTAGTTTCTCACCCTTGAATATGATGTTAGCTGTGAGTTATTTGTAGAGACTCTTTGTAAAGTTGATAAAATTCCTTCTATTCTTTGTTTGCTGAGAGTTTTTACCATCAATGAATGATGAGTTTTGTCAAATGTCTTTTCTGTATCAGTTAATAAAATTGATATGATTTTTCTTCTTTAGCCTGTTGATGTGATGGATTACACTGATTTTTGGATGTTGAGCCAGCCTTGCATAACTGGAATGAAGCCCACTTGATCTTGGTGTCTAATTATTTTTATACACTGTTGGACTCAATTTGGTAATATTTTGTTGAGGATTTTTACATCTATGTTTATGAGAGATTTTAGTCTGTAATTTTCTGTTATTGTAATGTCTTTGTCTGGTTTTTGTATTGGGGTAATGGTGGCTCATAGAATGAGTTAGAAAGTGTTCCCTCTGGTTTCATTTTCTGGAAGAAATTGTAGAGAATTGGTATAATTTCCTCCTTAAATGTTTGGTAGAATTTGCCAGGGAAACCATCTGGAACTGGGTGTTTTCTTTTTTGGAAGGTTATGAATAATTGATTCAACTTCTTTCATAGATATAGTTCTATTCCGATTTTCTATTTCTCCTTGTATGAATTTTGGTAGTTTGTGTCTTTCAAGAAATCGGTCCATTTCATATAATTTATCAAATTTGTGGGCATAGATTTGTTCTGAGTACTAATTTATCATTCTTTTAATGCCCATCCTTTTAATGACCAGTGATGACAAATCTTTCATTTCTGATGTTAAAAATTTGTGTCTTCTTTCTTTTTTCCTTAGTTGGCATGACCAGAGGTTTGTCAATTTTATTCACATTTTCAAAGATGTAGCTTTTGGTTTTGTTGATTTTATCTGTTGTTCTTGTTTTCAATTTCACTGATTTCTGCTCTAATTTTTATTTCTTTTCTTCTGCTTGCTTTAGACTTATGTTGCTCTTCTTTCTCTAGTTTCCTAAGATGGAAGCTTAGATTAATGATTTTAGATCTTTTTTTTCTAATATATTCATTTAATGCTATAAAAAACACCTCTCTAAGCACTGCTTTAGCTGATTTTTGGATTTTGAGCCAGCCTTGCATTACTGGAATAAATCCCACTTGATCTTGGTGTCTAATTATTTAGGTGCTGCATCCTACAAATTTTAATATTATATTTTCATTTTCATTTAAAAATATTTTTAAATTTCTCTTGAGACTTATTCTTAGACCCATGTGTTATTTAGAAATATGTTGCTTAATCTCCAAATAGTTGAGGTTTTTCCAGTTATTTTTCTGTTATTGATTTCTAGTTTAACTGTATTGTGGTCTGAGGACATACTTTGTATGACTTCTATTCTTTTAAATTTGTTAAGGTGTGTTTATGGCCAAGAATGTAGTCTCTTGGTGAATCTTCCATATGCACTTGAGAATAAGGTGTGTTCTGTTGTTGGGTGGAGTATTTTATGTTGGTTAGATCAAGTTGACAGATAGTGTTGTTTAGGTTAACTATATCCCTACTGATTTTCTGCCTGCTTGACTTATCAATGACTGAAAAATAGATGTTGAAGTCTCCAGCTATAATAATGGAATACTCAATTTCTCCTTGCGGTTCTATTAGTTTTTGCCTCATGTATTTTGACACTCTGTTATTAGGTGCATACACATTAAAGATGTATTGTCTTTATATTTTGCTGAATTTGATTTGATAAATTTTTAAATGGTTTTTACATCACGTTCATGAGGAATGTGGGACTGTAATTTACATTTCTTGACAAGTCCTTTTAGATTTTGATATCAGAGTTGTGCTGACATTATGAGTTAAGAAGACTTCTCTTCTATATTCTGAAAAAATTTGTGTAAGATTGGTATTATTTCTTCCTTAAATGTTTCATAGATTGCAATGATGCTATCTAGGCCTGGAGCTTTTTATTGGGACATTTTTAAACTATAAACTTAATTTATTTCATAGTTTCAGGGCTGTTCAGATTTTACATTTCTTCTTGTTTTGGTTTTGACAAATTACATTTTTCAAGGAACTAGTTCTTTTATCCAATTTATCAAATCTTCTAGCATAAAGTTATTCATAATATTACCTTATTATCCTTTTTTTTTTCCTGAGGAAGATTTGCCCTGAGCTAACATATGTTGCCAATCTTCCTCTTTTTGTATGCGTGCTGCTACCACAGCATGGCCACTGACAGACGAGTGGTGTAGGTCGGCACCTGGGAACCAAACCTGGGCCACCAAAGCAGGGCACGCCAAACTTAACCACTAGGCCACTGGGGCTGGCCCTTTATTATTCTTTTAATGCCTGTAGGTTCTGTAATAATAACTTTCGTTCATTCTCTATTTTTTTTTTTGATTAGCCTAGCCCAGGGTTTATCAATTTTCTTAATCTCTTCAAAGAGTCTACTGTTGGCTGCGCTGATTTCCTCAATTGACTATTTTCTATTTCCTTTTATTTCTGCTCTTATCTTTATTATTTTATGTCTTCTACTTATTTTTATTTTAATTTACTTTCCCCCCATCTTTTTAAGTTAAAAGTTTAGAACATTGAATGTAAATCTTTCTTCTTGTCTAATAAAATTATTTGAAGTTACTTGTTTCTCCAAAGGCTACTTTAGCTGCATCCCACACATTTTAGTATGTTGTGTTCTAATTATTACTCAGTTTGGGCTATTTTCAAATTTCTACCTTGAATTCTTTTTTGACCCATGTGTTATATAACCTCATATAGCTTAATGTACAAGTAGTTATCTATTTAATGGGTATTTTGTTGTTAATGACTTCTCATTTAATTCCCTTGTGGTCAGAGAACATAGAGTATATTATTTCAATTCTTTGAAATTTATTGAGAATTATTTGATGGCCCAGAAAATTATAGATCTTTGTGAACGTTCCATGTGCACTAAAAGGAATGTTTATTCTGCAGTAATTGGATATGGTATCCCATAAACCTCAACCAGGTCAAGTGGTTTACATAGTGATACAAATATATATTTTTGCTTATTTTTGTCCATTTATTCTATCAATTATAGGAGAAGGGTATTAAATTCTCTAACAATGATTTTGAATTTGTCAAGTTTTTTCCTTAGTCTGTAAAAAACTGCTTTACGTATTTTGAAGCTATTATAAGGTGCTTACCTTTTTTTTCTTTTTGTGAGGAAGATCGGCCCTGAGCTAACATCTGCCAATCCTCCTCTTTTTGCTGAGGAAGACTGGTCCTGGGCTACATCCATGCCCATCTTCCTTTACTTTATATGAGATGCTGCCACAGCATGGCTTGTCAAGCGGTGCGTCGGTGTGCGCCTGAGATCCGAACTGGTGACCCCCGGGCTGCTGCAGTGGAGTGCGCGCACTTCCCACTTGTACCACCGGGCCAGCCCCAGGTGCTTACCTTTTACCGATCCTTTTCTCTCTACTAGCTTTGGTCTGCCTACTTCCTGACTTCCTTTAAATCAGAAAAAAAAAAAAAACATCTATCATGTGTCAGGTATTCTTATATGGAGTTTTCCTGTAATATATATCCAGACATAATACTAAATGATACAAATAGTATGATAGAAAAGTACAAGATACCATGAAGGTATCATGCATAAAACAAGGAACTAACCTAGTTATGGGATCAGGAAGAGCTTCTCCATGGAAGCGATATATTAATGGAAAGGTGGGAGTTAGTGCTAATAGGAGGCTGTGAAGGAGCATTCCAAGAAAGAGAAAAGTCATGAGCAAAAGCCCTGAGGCAGGGAGGAGCTTGGCTCTTTGGAGAAAATGAAAGTCCAGAATAGCTTTACTCTAGAGTGAATGCAGAAGTGGCAGAGGAGTGTTGAACAGAGGCATATGTGGAGGCTTTGGAGCATCCTGAGAGCAGTAAAAGCATTAAGAGGTTTTAAGTTAAGAAGCGCTATGATCTGATGGGCAATTTTAAAAGAATACTCAAACTTCTAAGTGAGAATAAGATGTAGAAAACAAGAAATGGATGCTTGGAGACCAGTTAAGAGGTGACTTAGGTGATTAAGGTAAAGAGGAGATGACGGAGGCTTAGGTTAAAGTGTATGCTGTAGAGCTGAGGGAAGTGGAAGGAGTCAAGACATATTTTGCATGTAGAATTGTTAGAACCTGATCACGGATTGAATGTGAGTGGTAAGGAGAAGAAAGTGTCAGTGATGACTTTTGGCATGTGTTGAAATAGATAACTATGAAGAAAGAGCAGATTGGGGGGAGGGAAATAGGTTTTAACATGCTGAGATTCAGATGCCTGAGGTACATCAACGAAAAAATATCACACAAGCTGTGAAATATATGAGCTTGAAAGGAGGATTTAAGCTAGAGATATATATTTGGGAGTTATAAACAGATGGCAACCAATGCCATGAGAGTGGATCAAATAATTTAGATAGGAAGTATAATATAAGAAAAAAAGAAGACTATAATGCAATCAGAAATAATTCTAACATTCAAAGGTCAGAAAGAAGAAGGGCTGGTGAAAAAGAATGAGAAAGAGGGACCAGATATACAAGGGATGCTATAGGAGCCAATATTTTCCCTCAGTTGTTATTTGCCTTTTAGTTTTGTATATGGATTCTTCCGGGTCCAAGCTGTTTCTCCAAGGTCTGATGGAGGTCATTCATTTTTGTGTGGTCATTCATTTTTCCTGAGAGTCCCACTGCACACCTGCTGGGCCCAAAACTTACAGTCATTACTAGCAAATTTCTTTATATTCATTCACATATAGCCATTTTCCTTAAGGCAGTCCCAGAGTATCAGGATGGCTGGCGAGGAATTGCTTCTGTAATCAGTTAAATGCTGGCCTGGAACCAAGAGTTGGGTTTTTATACTAAGTCCTTGAAATACAGCCAGTTTATTTCCTTTATCATGGTGAATTAATTTCCTCTTAGGGGCCCCTTTTGTCTTCTCCTACAGTTAAACCAGCCTATTCTTTAGTAATGAGAAGAGCAGGGTGAAGAGGCATTCTCCTTAACACCTTCCATTTATTATCAGATTTCTTGGTCAAGGTTTACATCACTGGTGAAGATGAGATGTTATAGGATATAGTAAATTAAGTAACTGGAAACCCAGACAATATTCATTTGAGAGTGACAGAACTTTCCTTGGTGTAACCCAGCCAGGAAGAACCGGCAGAAATACCACAGTTTGGGAGTCTTATCACTATGCCCTTGAATGCAAGGCTTGAAGTATGGCTACATTGCCTTGAAGTATGGCTATGTGAAGAGAGATCAGACCAATGGCGTTCACCTATAACAGAGGAAGAATATAGACCGGGTGTATAGATGTACATACTGAATGACCCCCAAATAATGAATATACATTAGGTATTTGTAGTTGAGATTTTTGGGAAGGGAGTAGCATATACTCCTGGAAGTGTGGATCAGAACTGCCAAGGGTTATACAGTTTGAAAATACCATGAGGCATTCTGATACATAATTCTGGTGGAACCTGACTTATCCTGAGCCTCCAGTACACCCAGTTAAAAATTATTATAATAAATCCAGTATAAGACAAGTAAACTGGGAAAGTATATTTGCAACATATATAACAAATTGTTAATAACCTTAATACGGTTCTTTTAAATATGTGAAAAAATAGACAGAACTAATAGAAAATGTGCAAAAAAATGCAAACAAGTGCCAAGAAACATGATAAACTGTTAAGCAACAATGAAATATCAATATTTGCCTATCAGACTTGTAATGATTACAAAACATAATTAAATTCAGTAAAGAGAATGGATTGTGGGGAAATGAGCACACTTTCATAGATTTTGGTGGAATTGTAAATTGATATAACATTTTTGGAGGATAATCAGGCATCATGTATCAAAATTTTTAAATTAAAACTCCCTGACCCAGAAATTTTCCTTGTAGAAATTTATGCTAAGAAATAATTAGACAAGTTCACAAAATTGTGTATACAGGGCTACTAATAGCCAAATTGATATAAGAGCTCATACTGGAAACAATCTAAATACCCATATATATTGTAGTGTTTAAATGAATTATGGTATATCCATATAATGAAATTTTAAGTATTCAGTATTTTTATGTTGAAAAGTGCTTCTGATATATTGTTAAGTTTTTAAAAAGCAGATTATGGAACATCATTATAATAAATTACCATTTGTGTAAAGAAAAAAGCTTATATAAGCATGTTAAAATCTGGAAAAATAATCTCTATTAAGAATGAGAGATGAGATTATGGGGAGATTTTTGCTTCATTGTATTGTTTGTTACTTTTTAAATGCTAATGTATTATAAGAAGAATCTATATCCATTTAATAAAATAAAAATAATTGAATACAAGGTAAAAAAAAAGTAAACATCTTAAAAATTTTACAATGAAAGATGTCTTAAGGCAAGAATGTAATTCCCAATTAGTTAAGAACCTGATTATGTCATGTGTGCTACATATTTTTTATCATTGTGGAGTTGGGGAGGAGTGGTGAGTGGAATCTAATAGACAGCAATTAGTATCATCAACATTTTCTCCATTTTCTGTTAAGTATTATCCACTTAGCAAAATTTACTTCTGTAAGATTGAGGGTCTTGCTCTGCTTCTTCTTTATCAGACTACTTCTTTTCACTCCTGATTCAACAGGCTGCCAGGTTCACTTTTCTTTGAAAGCACAGGTTGCTGACAGTATTGCCAACGTGGAAAGGTGGAAACACAGAAAAAAAATAGATAGCTTGATTCATATTGTTAACTCTGTAAACATATAAGCTGTAAGACATTTAAAAATATTTTGCTATTTTATATAAAATCATTTGTATTACAATCATCTTCTTAGTTTTTGCAGATAACTGTATCCTATTTGTATTCAACCCACAACAAAGAATTCTCTGTTCTCAAAATTTTGCAGATATTATCAATACTTGTACTTGATATTGTTCTGTCATGATGCCACCAAGATCTTGGTTAGATGGCTGTCACTCCAGGTGAGTGGACAGGTAGGTCTCCCTCCCTTTGCACAAACAGCCTAGGTGGGTTTTGGTGTTGGTTGGTCACTGGTACTCGTAAACTACTTAAGAATTGAGTACCAGATTGTTAGTCTCCATGTTGGGTAATAGGGCTCCAGAGAGGGTAAGTTCTAGGGCTCTGGTTCTTGGTGTATGTTTGGACAGCTCATAAATGCAAACAAACATATTACTCTTCCAGGTGGAATGTGGAGGAAGTATAAGTGTCACTCCTGACTTACATTTGTCATCACTTGTCTAGGATTTTCTTATATGAGACAGGCGCCCCCTAGTGAATAGAGGGACTGAAGTTGGCCTCCACTATAAGAGAGGCTGGGGAAACAGCTGAGGCAGTTTTAACAATTTCACATTGTATTAAACAAGATGCTGAGGTTTCCTGTATGTGAATGTGGGTGAGGGTGGGGATCTGTTCTCAGTAAAAAGCATCCAGGATTTCACAATAGAGAAGAAGTAATCAATTTTCTAGATGAAGTTTGGAAATTTCAAACTAATCCAAACTTTGCTAGATCATCAAAGTATATGAGTAGATCATTGATCTTGATCCACCTGCCAAATGTAGAAACTTTACTGGACTTTTTTTATATAGCTACTAGAATCTGTCTGATACATATAACTTGGGGTTGAGACTTGAGAAACTATAATTTCAATCCAAAAAACTTTAATCTGGCAAATACATTTGATAAATTACATTTTATTTGGTTAATTTCAAGAATAGAGCATTTAATGCAGACTGGTTCCTTGAGTGATATAATAAATTAGTTACTTTTAATTATCTTCTCTCCGTAAATTTCCTCCACTTATAATGGTCTTTATTATGCTTGAAAGACATATAAACTGTAATTTTTCATCATCCAGCACTGAGTTAGGTCCTCAACAAGGAATCAAAAATAATTTTTATCCTGTAGGATACTTCCAATATAAAATACAGTCAAAGAATATATAGCCAGGTTAACCCGAAAATAAAGACATCAAATAAATGTGATAAAAGCATTCACATTATTGTAACTGTCCAAGGGCAGAAACAATCACACACTTGACTCAGTGGCCTTTAAATGTCGCATCCTAAATCAACAGTTGGAGAAAAGATTAAACAAAAAGTAGGTGACCTGTTTAAATAAAAATTAGGTGAAAAGGTTACTGGACTGTTCTCAAAGGTCTTGTTTGATGTCAGAAACTATCAAATTATGAATTGTATGTAGTATATTTTTGTTATTTTGCAAGGGTTCACTTTTCAGGGGTAGATTTTCTTATTTCCTCCCACCTTCTTGTCTAAACAATTTTTTAGAATAAAAAATTACTTTTTCCTGTCTCGCCTAGATTGCCCCTTGTTTCCTGAGCAATTACCCTTTAAGATTCACCTCAAATCCTTCAGGTCCAAGCGGACTTCTCCAACTGTAAGGCCCCTCTAGGCCCTCCCTCTTCTCTGAACTCCTAATGGCTTCATTTAACACAATTATATTGCTTTGATTAATTCATGTATATTAAAAGTGTCTACAGCACACCGAGTAGACCCCAAAGTCCATTCTCCATTATTGTAGCATGGAAGACAAACATCCCTTCACTTATGTAGAGGGATAACTTGTGCATTTCCCTTGTCACGGTGACAATCATGTGCTGGTGTGGGTGCAGGAAACAGAACACAAGGTAAATCGAGGTGGGTGACAGGTAAGGACCAAAACACCTCGTCCATCTCATCTTGGCCCAGACGCACCCGGGGCCGACGCGAGGTTACCCGTGGAAAGGCGGCGTACTCCTCCGCAAGAGCCTGATGCCGGGGAGGGAGGCGGGGAAGGAGCTTGGGGAGACTCGCGGGGGGAGGCGACACGCAGAAGCCCAGGTGTTTTGGCTCCGGCGCTACCGCGGAAGGGGGAACGAGGGGCGCGGGGCGGCGCGCGCCTGCGCGGACCCGGCTCCGGCCGCCCCCCGACG